CCCCAAAACCCCAAAACCCCAAAACCCCTGAATGCAAGCATTTAATTAAATTTAGGAGATTAATAATAGAATTACTGTAATTATTTATAATCTAATGTCATAGAATTAAGATCAACCATCTCTAAAATAAATATATCAATAAGTAGAATAACACAACAAAGACTTTTGAGAAAAAGTTGAGATGCTGAAATAAGAATTTAACTAACTTAGATAAAATAGTGTTTAGGTAATAGAGATTTTCTTCAATAAAATTTGTATGAAACTTGAATCTAATCAGATGATGCTAGAGGAAGTGCCTAGATACTCTGATTTGATGAAATTCGTTAAAGATGATCCAACAAAGCTCAAATAGCTCTTCTTAAATAATGAGAACTAATTTGACCAAATGATTGAGGAGGTTAATTCATGCATTAAGAATAAATTAGACCTTTAAAATATAGCTAAAAGCATAAATGTTCCAGATATGTAATTAAAAATGGGTCAGTAAACCAACTTGAAATAATAGCCTTAATAACCCTAGTCCATAAGAACTGCTTAAATTCCAATTAATTTAAGGAAATAAATGGAAGTAATAAAAATTGAAGATGAGGAAATAAAAGATGATGATCATCATCCTATTATATTAATTAGCTCAGAGTAGTAGTCCTAATAATCAACAAATGCTGCAAAGATATATGAATTCAATATCGAAGAGAGATTAATAATGCAATAAACAAATAAGAATGGAGGGAAAAAAAATTTTTCAATGAAAGAAAACTAAGTAAATTAGAGGAAAAGAGATATTAAAATTTAATACAAGAATAAAAAATAGTAAAGTGGCAAGAATAGCTAGAGCAAAGTATAAGAGGAATTAGAGATAATATTTAATAGTAAAGACAGAACCATGAGACATATGGATGATGAATTCTTTGAGTACAGTTTGATTTACTTTGATGGATCTATCAATCTTTATTACATAATGTTTATTGAGGGGTGGCAATAAGCAACTATTGGAGATATCTTCACTGATTAATTGAAAAAGCATCGAGATACCTTAGGAATTGTAGATATGGAGTATTTGAATGATAAAACCTTTAAAAATATGTAAGTACAGATAATTTTTGGGATAAATAAGTGCTTTATTGAACCTTAATTATATGTCAGAGGTAAATCCTTAAAAGACAAAATTATTTAAGAAGACTAAATAGTTGTTCTTGAAGAGGACAATGCTTCTAATTTCGATCATAAAAATCACTAAAGAGCTGAATATGTTCTTGAAGTTTATAAGAATGAAATATTGATGATAGGTGGAAATATGAGAAATGGAAAGGAGCTGAGATTTGAAATGTCATATTAGATTATATCTAATGACGAAAATGATGTTAAATATCAGTCTCACTAGTTAGCAGGGCTTAATTTTAAAAGAATAAATCATTCAGCCTTTGTAGTAAAAGATCATTTATTTGTTCTGTTTGGTGAGGGCTAGACTTATGGTGAGTATATGGACTTGTCTAAGCCAAATAAGAAAAGAAAATTTACAAAAATTTAAATCTACTTCGAAATTGATGAAAATATATTTGAAAAGCCTATCATTTTTCAACATTAAGATGATCCTAAATCTCAAGATATCTATTTTATTGGTGGTAGCTTTAAATAAAAGAGATCGGGGAACACTAAATTATCACTGAATAAAATAATAATTACTTGGGATAAATATACTTTATATCCTCAAACTATTGTTATTTAGAAAGTACCAGATGTTTGTGATTTCAATTATATTCCACCATAAAATCATTCACGCTGCTTGGAGTTTTCTCAAAGATTAAAGTCGAAATTGTATAACAAAGAGTGTGATTTGTGGTATTTTATGGATGATGAATAGCAATTAATTACTTATGACCCTAAGAACAAGATATTTAGCTAGAAATGCTGCAAGTAAAAAGGCATTTGATTAGGAAACAATAAATTACAATTCATTTTAAGATATTTTGTTCCTCTCATAAAATTTAAATTATCTTATTTGGGGTTTTGGGGTTTTGGGGTTTTGGGG